TTTCAAAAGCATGTTATTGAAGCAGAAATTATTACTGGAAAACATGCTGGAGTTCGTGCTTTTATTCCACGTATTACTCTATCACCCTCAAATTCAAATTTGCCTTTTACCTTGAAATGTCGCTAATTTCCAATACAATCAGCTTTTGCAATGACAATCAACAAACAAGGACAAATATTAAATTGGGTTAGTTTATATTTTCCAACTCCCGTATTTTCTCACGGATAATTATATGTTGCTTGTTCAAGAGTAACATCAAGAAAAAATCTGAAAATTCTTATTATAAAACAATTAGGAGATAATTCAAATTTAATCAATTATACTCACAATATTATATATCCAAAAATCTTTCAATAAAAGTTGTTATTACAGCTATTCTCAAAATTCTCGGACCACTCAGTTCATTTTTGTTCCAGAGATAAATTTTTCATATACAATCATATGCAATCATATGCACAGGATTATCACTGATCGTTAATAATTCAAGTCAAATCTGTAATTCCAGCCTGAATTAATTTCATTTTTTAGAGATGTAATGTAATACTAATTTTATGTAGGAAAAAGCTTTAAATTTGGCTAGAATTACAGATTTGATCTGAATTATTAACGATCAGTGATAATCCCGTGCGTATAACTGTGTATGAAAAATTTATCTTCAGAACAAAAAAGAACTGGATGGTCCGGGAATTTTGAAATAGCTGTAATTAATTGATGATTATATATATATATTGACCGTTGACGTAGACAACGGGTATATACTAGTATAAATAAAAAAGAAGATAGATTATTTCTAATAAATAATAAATAATATATAACTATTTTTTATTTTTAATTTTATTGTATAATTTGATTTAAATTTTAAATCAAATACTAATAATAAATTATAATTTAGATGTATATTTTTTTATTAATATAATTTAATAAAAATATTTTGATTTTTTTCTTATTTTTCACTTAATAAAAATAATATAATCCTTTTTATATAATATTTTCATATAAATAATAATAATTTACAAATAAAATTTTTTAAATTTTTTATTAAAATATATAATCACATGATTTATTATTGCTAATCAAATTAGTTTATAATTATTCAATTACAAACTAAACGAATTTTTCTTAGAGGTCTAACATAATTCTAATCATATTTATTTAACTAATAAAACTAACTCAATTAATTAATTAATAAGATTGATAATATAATTTTGATAGATTTATTACATTATCAATTCTTCTCTTTAATACTATTACTAGTAATAAAATGATACTAAAAAATTATATATTAAAATTATTAGAAATAGGAATAAAAATTATTAATAAAGTATTAAAAATTAGAAGAATAATCTATAGAAATGATCAATATAAAATTATTATAAATAAAAGTAGTATTTTATCTTGTAAAAAAATATCTTAAAAAATTTTGATAATAAAAACAATGTAATATTATCATATTATATACAGTTAAAGTTTTTTATAATAAATTTCTATATTCTGAATTTTGTATTATTGCAAATCACATTAGTAATATGAAATTTTATTAAATAAAATAATTAAATACAACAAATTTTTATAGTAAATTTTACTATTATGTATAACGAATTTAAAAATCTGTATAAGTATAATAAAATAAAGCTTTTATTAGTGAATTTTTTTATAACAAATTTTTTATGATAAATATAACGAATTTGTTTTAGTAAATTTTTATATTAAATTCAAGAAATACAATGAATTTTTTTTGATTGCTATTAATAGAAACTATAAAATCAAATAATCGTATAAATTTTTTTGATAATCAATTATTTTATTTGAAATACCTAAAGAACAAAGAAAAAAAATTCTCATAAAGGTAAAGGGAAAGCTTCTGCTATAAAACGAACTAGGGCCTCTCTTATAGGTATTCAAAAACAAAAAGTTTGCCAAAAAAAATTGTAAAAATAAGCATTTAAAAATAAAGAACTTGTTAAAAAGGTTAGGATAAACAAAAGAGATAAGGTCATTAATATTCTGTAATGGTAAAATAATATCATTAGGAAGTTGGATGATATCACTATCTAATCCATTAATAGTAAGAATACGACCCTTTCCAACTTTAAGTAGCCATTTAGCAAACTCTTTTTGTTCGACAGCATCAGGTTCATTTGTAGTACGGAAAAGATGCATATTAGTTTTCAATGTCATTAATTTTATATGCTTTCATAAAGTGGATCATCGTAAGCAAGACCCAACAATATCCTCACAACCTCCTTTTATTACTACTGGAAGTATTTGATGAAAATCACCTCCGAATACTACAACTTTACCTC